TTCCAAAATATCATTGATCAGACCCTGTTAATCAGTTTAACATTGGTCAGGCCTTTCAGATCTATCAATAATCAAACCAATTAACCAATCCAAGACTAGTTTAATTAGTCCAACATTTACCAAACCTTTCTGATTTATCACTGATCAGACTACTTGATCAATCAGATTACTTGATCAATCCAGAACTATCCAAAACCAATAGATAGACCTGATCAATCAATCCAACACTGATCAGACTTGTTAAATCAGTCCAACATGGATCTGTTTTGTTTATCAAACACTGATCAGACCAGTTAATCAGTCCTTTCCAGTCTCATCACTGATCAGACCTCTAAATCTAACAGTGATCAGACTTGTTTAATCAATCCAAAACTGATCACTGACCACACTTCTTGATCTAGCACTCATCAGACCTGTTAATCAATCCAATTCTGATTCAGAAACATTAGATTGATTGATTAGATTAGATTAGATTAGATTGCCCTCAGGTCAGCAGCTCAGTCTGCACAGAGCCAAACAAGGCAGAGAGGAAAAAAACTCTCTTATGGTCAGGTGATGGCCAATCATATGCTGGTGCATGATGGGAAATGTAGTTCTGCTGGCTGTGGAGAGGAGACGAATGTGGAGCAGTTGAACAGCGATCGGATCTAAAGTTCAGTTTCAGACCTGAACCTCCATCTGGCTTCATCCAAACCACAATAACACACTCAACAATCAACACACACACACACACACACACACACACACACACACACACACACACAGAAAGAGAGAGAGAGAAAGAGAGAGAGAGAGAGAATGAAAGAAAGTAAGCCAGTGAGTGAGAAACTATGTGTAAAAGGCTTTGCTTGTGTGCCCAGTGCACCCATCACTGCGTATAGCAGTGTGTATTTGTGTGTATACATACGCTGTGGTTCTAGTGTTCTAGTGGTAATAAGAGCAGATCTAATCAATACAAAGAGGCATGCGCTAAATAATGCTAGCATTAATCCAATGTTATTAACATCAATTTCTCTTCAGGTAATCACTGTTTGTTAATATACGACTCAAGGACCTTCCAATTTGGCCCTTCTGAAGCTGTGCATTAGCTTACCATAGATACAGCGATGCTGGTAAACCCGTCTCCTAGCAACAGTGTAGCAGCCACCTAGCTGAAGCGCTATAGCCTCTGAATGAGGTAAGCAGAGATGCTAAGCAGTGGACGAGAGCCTCAGATTAAAGCCTGTTTAGTACCCAGCCAACCCATCTCTCAAACGCTGCCTCGAATCACTGCCTTTCACATTGTGTGTTTAAGAAATACGTAATAGCCTAATAGTTCATCCAGTACCTGTTAAAATGGAACATATGAAGACTTTTTATTTTTCACAATGGAGAGCAACTGTCCATCTTCACCTCTAGGATTAAGGGTTAACCCCAGGCATGTTATATGTGAGCTATCGTTAATAGCTGCTATGATTCAGTCAAAGGCACTAGTACAGTTCACCATAACGCACAGCCTTCAGCTTTCTATTGCTTTTATACAACCGTTCTGCAAAATAAAGAGCAAAGTAAAGCAAAGACGCCCTGAACCTTCCACCAAATTAGATTTTATATCAGCAATTCCTTCTGCATTTTGCATCACAGAGCCATAAAGCTGAGTGAATATCAGGTTGAGCTCAGTTTCTTCAGAGTTGAAGATGAAGCTCAATGTGGTTTAGTTCAGTCTGTAAAGTGTTCCACAGCTCATCAACTGTATTCCGTTGGTTTCTGGTTAATTCCAGTTTGTTTAATTGCTCTGAAAAGCTTGTTTTGGATCAACGACAGGTTCTGAATGTGATGAAGTCTTGCAGTCACTCTCTTCTTCACAATCTGACCAAACAGGCTGCAGGGAAAATATCATTGCTGTCCAAAGAAAACCATGTGTCTCCATTTTTGTCAATTTTTATTTTCCTTTATCATTTCAACTCACCAGCTGTCCTTTACGTTGTGTGAAAATTTCGTGATAAATGGACCAATAGAAATGCTCTAAAATCACTTGGAATAAAACCTCTTTACACTAACTTATGTTACGACCCCTGGTCATAATATACCTTTTGTGTGCTTATGTGCAGGTACATGATTGGCCGGACAGGGGCGCACGGAGGTATAAGAGGTCGCTGAGCCACCATCTTGGGAGATGTTCAGGGCTCTTTTCCCTTTGATACGACCTGGAAGAACACCAGTTCAGACCAACCCGGGACTCTTCACACCACTCTTGGCTTCACTTTGTGTGTAAAGTTTGAAAGTTTGTGAAAGCTTTGTTAGATTTTGTGAAACTCTTGTGAACATCGGAAAAGTAGGGGACGGGAGCCGTTTTGATTTGGGTATCTTTTTCTCCTGTTTGAGGTAGGGAGTTGGGGAAGACGTCTTTTTGTTTCTCTTGTTTTAGGCTTAGTTTTTCATTATTAGTCGTTTTGTTTGTTATTTTGGCGAATGCTCATCCCTGAAGTCTTCACCTCAACTTGTTGAGCTTTTGAAGAAAATAAACCTGTCATTTACTGGTTGAAACAGTGTCCGGTGTCTGGTCTGGCAGCAGGTCTGGGGAGAGAGCCCACTCTCATTCTCTGTTACGGCCTGACCCTAGACCGGGTCGTAACACTTACATTGAAAAGTAAGAGTGTTTTTGCCTTCTTCTGTAAAGTTACTATTTTGGAGATACTTGTTTTTCTTTGGACAGCGATGATATCATCTTACAGAAGTTATCTAATGTGTCCATCTTCTGTTTTTGTATGTGCTAAAGTGGAAACAGTGATGCAGCGTACTTAGCAAACGGCATCTCAGCAGAGTGAAACAGTTATTGTCAAAAAAAACGGGATTGTGCCATCAGAACTAACTGTTGTATAATACAACATATTGTATTGTAGCATTGAATTAGCTTGTGGCTACAGTGTTAGATTGGGACACTATAAAGCTCAGCTAATATTGTACTTTTATAATGTTAAATGCTCAAATAAACTTAAAAAGTGGAAACATTAACATTAAGATAAGGCACATTTTCAAAACCTAATTTCTGCTGTATTTAAAAATGTATCAAATTGAGACACAACTGTATTGTATTGAGTTGAATTATGTTTATGGATTGTTACGTCCCAAGTGGTTACATATTTAATTACTAATGAGTTCTGTTCATATTATGTGTTGACAGAAGTTTGTAAAAACAATCATTTTCATCCTGATGAAATATCTCCTCTTCTTACAGACACAAATGCGATATGGACTGATAGTTAGAACCTGAACTTTCCACACAGTTTCTCCACTCAATGAACTACAAACAGAAATAATTAATATAGCATGAGGGTTAACACTTAGACCTTTAGGCCTTAACTAAAACCCCTAACTCTTTACCCCTAAACCCTAAGCCCTACTTAGAACCCCTAACTGAATGTGCTATCTATAACCTCTAAGCCCCAAAGTAACCCTCACCAAACCTCTCCACTGAATCTTTCATCACTTTTTATTACTTCAGATTTTGCACGGTATTCACTCTGAATACTAACAAAGGAATGAACCTGTCATTCACCCTCCTGCAGCACTATTCTGCTCATCTCCCGCTAGAACACTAGAACCCCCCAGAACATTCAGATCAGAAAGAGCATCTGCTGAAGTCAGCCAAAGAGCACACCAACTCTACATTCTCCAACAAACCCGAATGGTGGGAGGGTGTGTTGTTCCCCTTTACACTGCTTTAAAATGTTCTCCTCCAATTCTCATGGTTCTCGAGTGTTTTTCTGCCTTTCACACTGTTCTAGAATGTTCTTCCCAGTCACACATCTACAATGTTCTGCCTCATTCACGCTGTTCTAGAATGTTTTCCTGCAATCACACTGATCTGGAATTTTCTCCCCATTCACACTGTTCTAGAATGTCCCCATTCATGCTGATCTAGAATGTTCTCCCACATTCATGCTGCTCTAGAACGTTCCATCATTCACACTGTTCTAGAGTGTTCTCCTACATCCATGCTGATCTAGAATTTTCTCCCCATTCACACTGAACGTTCCACCATTCACACTAATCTAGAATGTTCTCCCCATTCACACTGTTCTAGAGTGTTCTCCCTCTTGTTTAAACTGTTCTAGAATGTTCTCCCCATTCACACTGTTCTCTCATTCACACAGCTCCAGAATATCCTCATTCACACTGTTCTAGAATGTTCTCCTGGATTTACGCTGAAGTACGATTTTCTCCCCATTCACACTGTTTTAAAATGTTCTGCTCATTCACACTGTTCTAGAATGTTCTCCCCATTCACACTGTTCAAAACGTTCTCCTCTTGTTCACACTGATGTACAGTGTTGTCATGGCTCATCTGGCTTGTCTGTTCACTTTAAAGCTGATATGCTAACAGGAAACGTTTGTGACTGGTGGAGAACCGAGGGGGTCAGTGTGCTCTGGGCTTTGGGCCGTAAGTGAGAGGAAGATATGAACTGAGAGACGGATAGGAAAAGACAGAAAGAGCGAAAGCTCAGCCAGAAACGCACAAGCATACAAACATTGCCTCACTCACCCTTCACAAATCCTCATCTACCCTCTACCCCCTTCCCCGGAGAACGGAGAACCGCGTGGTTCCTGCGTGTGGGCAAACGTATGTGTGGTGTCAAGTTCAGCTTATGATGAACTGATCCTCATTTTTGTGCATTAGAATTCCACAGCTCAGCAGTCAGAGTGGAGATGAACGTGTGAGTGTCCCCGGTGACAGCAGTTCCACTGTTCATTCCAGAATAATCAGTTTCAATTTCAACTCACTCTCTCTCCCACACACACACACACACACATACACACACACACTACCTGTGAGGGCAGAAAGATCGATGATGTCATCCTCAGGTGTGTTAATGTGTGTGTGTGTGTGTGATTTCATACATGTCCATAAGCGCTCTTCACCTGTATGGGCAGCGTCTGTCTGCGGCAAACCAACAACGTAGGGAATTACGCTACTTGGATATAGACTATATTTTATACACAGATACAACTTTGTAGAAACTGCAAAAAAGACGCTTTCTTTGGCACTTATGTACGCAATAGTGCCTTGTCCGGTTCGTCTGTACAAACGTTGTCCGTGGGACTCGGTAATAATCCTCTGAGTCTGTCTGTCGGGGACGAAGCTTCCGCAATGTCAAACTCCGTCAACATCTGCCCCACTGGCATACCAACCAGGCTCCTCGATGCCTCAGTGTGTGTGTGTGTATAAATGTGTGTATATGCGTGTATATGTGTGACTGTGTGTGTGTTCAGATCTGTGTCTCCTGCACACTCTCCTTGGACCCATTGGACAGCAGTAGAGGCTCGGTCTGAGTGCTGGGGGTGTGGCTAAGGCTCTTCAGTGTTCCGTGGAACGCCATTGCCATTGGGATCGGGATTGGTAAAGGTGGAGAGGTGGATCCGGGGTTGGAGGAATCACCGGAAGCAGCCGTTGTGTTCATGGAGACCTGCTTCTTGGAGGTTGGGCTGGTCTTGTTGTTCAGGATCCCTCCGGTTTGGCCCCCAGTAAGTCCCAGAATGTTATTATTGAAGTGGTGCGGTTTGTAATAGTGGTTGACATGCTCAGCCCGACCAATATTCGGCAGGGTGACGATTTCAGGGTCGTGTATCCGCAGGCTTTGTCCAGCTCCTCCAGGTCCTGCTCCGGTGTGAACCGTTGACCCACCTGCAATGCCGCTGGCACCCCCGGCTGGCCCCATTTCATCCTCTACATTGATGATCTCGATGGCTCGAGCGGGACCGTGGTGTTTGTGCAGCTGGTGCTGCTTCCGCAGCTTGTAGAATACAACCAGCATGACAGCCGCCATGAAGGTGATGGCCACAAAGCAGCCGATGATGATCTTTGTTGTCTTCATCACATCCTCCAGGCCGGACAGGTTTGCCACATCCGTGATAGAGACAGTGAATGGGCGGTCAGGGGCATGAGTGACGTGAGGTGGAAGGGAGGAAAGTGCCGTTCCTGAAGGACCCGGAGATGCGGATGCGGCCGTGGGTCCAGGAAAACTTATGAAGGTCTCGTTGACAAATTGCCTTGCTGAATCATGCACTTCCTGGCCTGGTTCAACAGTTTCCACAGTAACGGTCGTGAAGTAGCTATATGCGTTGCCAGGGTCGGAGGCTGAGACATTAAGGACGGCGGTTGCTGTTGTGTTTCCAGCAGAGTTGGTCACCATGCAGGTGTAGGGACCTGTGTCCTGCATGGTCACATTGGTAAAGTTAAGTGTTCCATCATGCAGAACAGAAATGCGTACCTTATAGGCGCCGTGAGTCATTAGGGTTCCATTAGGAGTCAGCCAGTTTACAGAGGTCATTGAGGTCCCAGTGCGGCACTTCAGCTCTGCTGCCATTCCTTCGGTCACATTTAAGTCAGTCGGCGGCTCAACAATCACAGGTGCATAGCAGGTGAAGTCTCTCTGGTCCAGGTCACCGATGTAGCGACCTTTCGTTCCAGGAGGAGCATGGCAACGGGCACAGCAGGTGGAGTTATCCGGCACAGTCTCCTTGAGCCACCAACTAAGCCACAGAACATCACAGTTACACACCCAGGGGTTGTGGTTCAGATGTACCCGCTCCAACTGCTGCAAGGGTGTGAACAGGTCATGGGGCAGAGAGTGAAGGGAATTGTGGGACAGATTGAGCTCCTCCAAGTTCTTCAGGTCATCAAAAGCATTCCGCTCAATTAAGGATATACGTGAGTGCATGAGCCACAGTTTGCGAAGCGACACAAGGCCCTGGAAAGATCCAGGACGCACTACTCCAAGTTGGTTCCCGGACAATTCCAGCTCCTCCAGCCGCACCAGTGGAGTCAGGTTGGGCACATCCTTCAGCCCGCACATCCCCAGGTTAAGGAAGCGCAAGTTCACCAGACCTTCAAAGGCAGCCTCAGAGATGAAGCTGAGCTTGCGCAGTTCGCCCAGGTCCAGCCGTCTGAGGGATGGGACGCGGTGGAACGCGTACGCTGGAAGCGTCTCAATCGGATTGTTCCGCAGCCAAAGTTCTCGTAGCTTGCTCAGGTACTCGAACGCTTGCGACGGCACCAGTGGCAGCCGGTTGTCAAACAGCTCGAGCGTGATGAGGTTGGGCAGCCCATTAAACGCTCCAACTTCAATCTGGCGAATGTGATTCTTGGACAACTGCAAAATCTCCAGGTGACTCAAATGCTTAAAGGTGTCTGACTTAATCACCTACAGAGAAACAAAGGCAGAAAGAGGCAGAAGGAGAAATATACATTACCCAGAGTGAAATGAACATTCAACTGTTTTATATGCTTTCATTTACTAAAGGAGAGGGATTGGTGGTGTGAGGCTGCTGCTGCTTAAAATGCCACTGTTTCCACACCACACTCCTCTTGTGCAGTCAGTTGGAAATATTATTGACCCATATTATGTAAACATACATATTATATCTTATCATATATAAACTTAACATTCCAACACTCATAATGTTGTACATAACATCTACTCTACATTTTTTAAAAGTTAATCAAAATTTATGTTGAGATTCATACACTCTTAAAAATCAAGTTCTTTAAAAATTCTTAATAAAATGTCAAAGAAGAACCACTTTTGGTTCCATAAAGAACCTTCACTTGGATTGTTTGGGATTAGTATAGACTCTTTCATGCTATGTGAAGGTTCTTCAAGCCTTTAAAAGGTTCTTCACTCTCATATCTTGTACTTTGATGAATGGAAGGTCTCACTTTATTTGGATAGTCCACTTTAGTCCCCTGTAGATTATCTACAGATGTTCAAATTCTTACCAAACTATCTGTTGAAGCTCAGTAGATTCTAATCAGTGGTGGGGTTGAGGTTAGGATTTGGACCAGGGTGAGGGTTGGGTTTAGGTTTTGGGTCGAGGTTAAGGTTAGGGTTAGGATTAGAGCAGGTTTAGAGTTAAAGACAATTATGCTCAGTTTAGTAGATATTTTCTTGAATGTAACTTGGAAGTAAAATGAGGATCTACAAACCATCTAAAGTGGACTATGCAAATAAAGTGTTACTGAGTAAAAAGATTCAGATTCAGGTTCATGTTGAGATTTAGACCCTCTACCTGTAGACCTCATGAGGAAAATTAGCAATACTGCCTAGCCCCACATTCACACCATGTCCCTAACAGATATCTATAAGGTGCTATCTTTGAAAAGGTTAGCTTCTATTGAGACAAGTACAGTTAAACCATCAGCGCAAGCTTCTGGATGCAAGCTTACCTGTATGGAGTTCTCCTGCAGGTTGAGGTATCGCGTGTTGACTGAGATGCTCTGTGGAACTTCATCTAAGCCCTTCCTGGTGCAAATCACTCGACTCGCCTGATTGGAGCAGCTACAGGGTGTAGGGCAAGGGGGACTGGCCTCAGCTAATCTGGGTCCACTGAGATGTGGCCACAAAAGCAGCTGGACCAACCAAAGGAGGGGGGAGGGGCTGGAGAGGCCTGTCACCATGGCAGCCCACATGGCAGATGAGTCATGTCCCACCCCCTTTTCCAAAAAAGTTGATTTGTCAGCACCGGAATGGCAGAAAAAGCTCGGAGGCTTTTAAATGTTCATTTTCACCAACGACTGGTAGCTGCCGTCGGCAAGATATTCACAGAAAGTTATTCACACAGCCCGAGTCTTCAGCCTTCTGAGTAGATGCAAAACATAACACATCACACTATCATCAGCAGTCTGGATCACTGCAGAGAGAGAGAGAGAAAGAGAGAGAGAGAGACAGAGAGAGAGAGAGAGGGCATCGAGGTGAATAAAGTGCAGACGTGCATCAGGTCAGATTTCTCCCAGCTAAGCATGCAATTCCTAAGGACAATCACACCACATATCATTATCATCATCTCGTCTTTCTCGATCAGAAAAGACTGATCTGTAACTTCTGGCTCTGGAGAGGAAGATTTCCATGAGAAGCGCTTCATCAGGAGAGCACGAGAATATAAAGTTCAGCCTGTTCACCCTGAATTCTGGAGTATTGTTCCAGAAGAAGCTCTCAGTGTGTGTTGGGATGGTTTGGCTGAATATCGAGCTCTCAGCAGAGCCTGAAATACAACTCTACCAATCACAACGCCATCAAATCTTCTGACATTCTTTAGTTTAACATTGCAGCTAAAAGCTAATCTAGCTAACCAACAGGCATGGTGCTAACTGCACGCCAAATTCATCACGTTCGCCTCAGACCGTGTGGAGTTGTTAAGTAATCTCTACAAAACCTGCTCATTTGGTCTGGTACGACTGTATGTATACGCTGTGATCTGCTAATTACAGCAGTAGCAGCCTGAATATTATCAGCACTTGTAAAAGAAGCTTGAGCAGCATCACACTTTTCCTTCACTGCAAAAAATGGTGTCTTGTCAAGTAAAATGATCTTAACTATAGTCAAGAAATCTAATATTTCTCCTGCTGAGAGTGTTGTATGATTATTTAACTTAATTATACACATTTATTACCTGTTTTAAGTAGTTTTTTTCTCACTATGTTGGCAGATAATTTTGCTTGTTTTTAGAAATGTGCTTAAAACCAAAATTATCTGCCAGTATAATGAGATAATCTTACCTAATAAAATGACCCTAAAACAAGAAAAAAAAATTCAGGAAATGAGTTAGATGGTCTATAATAAGAGCGCAACCATCTCAATAGGGAAATGTTAGACATATCGACTAGATTTAAGATTATTTTAATTCACAAGATACCAAATGCACAGGACGCTGCCCACAGGACGCTGTTGGCTGGATATTTTTGGTTGGTGGACTATTCTCAGTCCAGCAGTGACACTGAGGTGTTTAAAAACTCCAGCAGCACTGCTGTGTCTGATCCACTCAGACCAGCACAACACACACTAACACACCACCACCACGTCAGTGTTACTGCAGTGCTGAGAATGATCCACCACCCAAATAGTACCTGCTCTGTGAGGGTCCATGGGGGTCCTGACCACTGAAGAACAGGGTAACAAAGTATCAGAGAAACAGATGGACTACAGTCTGTAACTGTAGAACTACAGAGTGAAACTATACGGTCAGTGGAGCTGATAAAATGGACAGTGAGTGTAGAAACAAAGAGGTGGACTTAATAAAGTGCTCAGTGAGTGTATGAAGCTTTCACGTTATACCACTGTGTGGTTTTCGGTCTGCCATCCTCACAAATATTTTCTTTCCTTTTTACTGGACAGACCAGTCTCTGCTTTCTGATCGACTATGCTGGACAGGTCAGTAAACATCAACAAGAGTCCACTGGCAGCGGCAAAACAGTTTGAAAGACCTTCTAAACTGAATGAATGTAAATGGACTGTCTGTTTTCAGGAAAGGTTTATGAAGATAATCTTAATATTGTCATGGTGACCAGCATACATATATAGCCTTCTGACTGCCAGAGGACAATGTGGAGGGGGAGTGGTGGTATGAACTGTGCATTAAAATCATTTAAATTTAAAATGTAGATTACTTATTTTACTAGCTCTATATAATGTACACATTTGTTTCAGCATATAGTGACTATATAGAATCAATAGAAGTCAAATCTTTGGAAATATGTGGAAAAGACTGCCCCCTTTGTTGTTAATGTGAGTTAATTTGCTATTCAGCCAAGACACGTTTGGTGTCTGAAGTTTGCTCCTTTAGTTTTAGCCCTGGAGCTACGAGGCTAATGTAGCTAACAAGAAATGGAAGCTAATACCCAATCAGCATGGTGCTAACAGCACATACATGTCTCAGACTGTGTGGAGGTGTTCAGTGTCTCTAATAGACTTCATTCTGTGGTTTCTGACACTGTATGACTCACTGTTGTCTATAAACATGGACTACAGATCATTAGCACAGCTAACAGCAGTAGCATCTCTGTACAGCCATGATTCTTTGCTCTAACAGGCCTGATTAGAATTAGAATTCAGAACCAGTAGCTAACTGTGTTTTGCACACAGAGGAATTAGACCTCCGCATTTAACCCATCCATGCAGTGAAACACCACATACACACTAGTGAACACACACACTAGGGGGCAGTGAGCACACTTGCCCAGATGCGGTGGGCAGCCTTATCCACGGCGCCCGGGGAGCAGTTGGGGGTTAGGTGCCTTGCTCAAGGGCACTTCAGTCACGTACTCATGGCTCAGGGGATCGAACCGGCGACCTTCCGGTCACAGGGCTGGTTCCCCAACCTACAGCCCACGACTGCCCCATTCAGCTTCAGAAGCACTTCATTAGTTATGATGTGAATCAGGTGCATGAAATCAGGTCAAAATCAACAAACATTGTGCACAGTAGTGCGATTAAAATCTAACTGAGCAAATAAAATGTAGAAAACTAAATAAAGAAAGTCTCACCGTTCTGTATAAGTGGATTACAAGAACGGAGGCGGGAAACTGTGCTCTATTCCAGTAGTTTCATCCTCCAAGTTTGGACATTAACCTAAAAATCCTCATCCCACATCTTTATTCCAACACTAGCTAAACGCTCATTAAACACTCAATCCTCATTTGCACTCATTATTGATGTTTACGGCTGAACGATGATGCTGCACATCAATCCCTGTTTAATAAGTCAACATTTAGTCACCAAAGCTTTTTCAGGCACCAATTCCAAAATGTTAAGTGGCTTTCAAACTGTTTTTCCTCATTAAATTACACATGCGCTTTAACCTTAAGCCTTAAAGGGGTAGGATATTAGCTAACGTGCTAATAGCGTGCACAGTTGGTACTCGATGCAGGCGGCGGGCATGTTTCCCTTTTTGGGGGGGGGTGGAGGGACCTGGAAGGAAGAGTGTTCGTCTTGAGCCTTTGAAAGCTTTGAAACTGTAACGGCGGAGCTGAGTCATCTAAAAGCTGTTAATCTGTTATAAACAATCAGGAACACTCAATCACTGCTACGACACGCAGTGACTTCTGGGATGTATTAGCACTTTTGATGAAGATGAACAAAAAAGGTTATGAATTAAAAAGTCTGTTGTTTATCAGCTTCAGATCCACCCACTGCTGATACAGCTCACCTATTCTCCATAGAAAAGAGCTGACCAGTGGAATGGGGCACTCCGGAGCAGCAGCACATGAGCCAATGGTCACCATGCACTGCAGAATAAATGGTGTCTTAGGAAGTGAAATTAGCTTAAATCCAGAAGTTCGTCTAACACGTCTAATTTGGAGATCACTGTAAGTTTATTATAAGATTATTGAGCTTGTATTACTTTTATTACTTTTATTGTTTTAACCGATTTGCTATAGTATCCCAGGTGGTTGCTAGAGAGTTGGTAGGTGGCTGCTATGGTATCACAGGTGGTTGTTTAGGTGTTGGTAGGTGGCTGCTATGGTATCACAGGTGGTTGTTTAAGTGTTGTTAGCCGGTTGTTATGGTATCCAAGGTGGATGCTAGGGTGCTGCTAGGTGGTTGCTATGGTATCACAGGTGGGAGCTAAAGAGCTGCTAGGTGGCTGCTATGGTACCACAGGTGGTTGCTTAGGTGTTGTTAGCCAGTTGTTATGGTATCTGGTTGCTATGGTATCACAGGTAATTGCTAAGGTGTTGCTGGGTATTTACTATGGTATCACATTTAATTGCTAAGGTATTGCTTGGTGGTTACCATGGTATCCGAGGTGGTTGCTATCGTGTCACAGGTAGTTGCTATGGCATCCCATTTGGTTGCTAAGTATTTGCTAGGTGGTTGCTATGGTATCACAGGTAGTTGCTATAGTGCTCCAGGTGGTTGCTAAGGTATTTGCTATGGTATCACAGGTAATTGCTAAAGTGTTGTGTGGTTTTTACCATGGTATCTGAGATGGTTGCTATGGTATCACAGGTAATTGCTAAAGTGTTGCATGGTTTTTACCATGGTATCTGAGATGGTTGCTATGGTATCACAGGTAGTTGCTATGGTACCCCAGGTGGTTGCTAAGGTGTTGCTAGGTATTTGCTATGGTATCAAAGGTAGCCGCTAAGGTGTTTCCACATGGTTACCATGGTGTTCAAGGTGGTTGCTATGGTATCCAAGGTGGTTGCTAAGGTGTTGCTAGGTCAGATTATCTCAGAATATTAGTAGATAATTTTGCTTGTTGTGAAAAAAAATAATCTGCCAATATAGTGAGATAATCTGACTCACTGAAATTACCTGAACAAGTAAAAATGTCTAAAAATAAGTTCAATAATCTTCTAATAATCTTACAACAGTCCCCAAATGAGAAATGATAGATAGTTATATCAATTAGATTTAAGTCAATTTCACTTGCCAAGATATCATATTTTGCAGTGTGCCATCCAATACCCTTGGGATGAGCTGGAGTGACCCAGAACTGACCATCCAACATCAATACCTGACCTCACTAATGCTCAATCAAATCCTCACAGCAATTTTCCAACATTAAAGGTGCCAGTAACTGTGGAGGGCGCTTTAGAGGAACAGCCACAAAAACAGCTGTAGTTTGTTGACTCAGGTTTAATCATCACTCGGCCCCCCCGTCTCTGCACCACTGCCCTCCCGAACCCTACATGATAAAGCCCCTCCGTACAGAAGCTCCTCTGATTAAGATTCGTATTCATTTACTGCTTCCAGCCGTGAGCCACAGGAGGAGAAAGGAAAGAGGAAGATAACACCCTGAGCCTCGTCCGCTCCACGAGCAGCACTGCCCGACTGCCAGGACTCACGGCAACTAGCAGCTAAGTAACAGCTAGCAGCCATTTTAGCACTTAGCAGGCTGTTTTCTTCCCAGCTGTGGTGCTGCGTCAGATTTTTGCCAGAGATTTGGTCCAGCTTGGGCTTTCTAACCACCACCACCACTATCATCATCATCTTCATCTTCATCATCAGCAGAAGTGCATTTTAGTGAGAGATTTGGTCCAGCTTGGGCTTTCTAACCACCACCACCACCACCACTATCATCATCATCTTCATCTTCATCATCAGCAGAAGTGCATTTTAGTGAGAGATTTGGTCCAGCTTGGGCTTTCTAACCACCACCACCACCACCACTATCATCATCATCTTCATCTTCATCATCAGCAGAAGTGCATTTTAGTGAGAGATTTGGTCCAGCTTGGGCTTTCTAACCACCACCACCACCACTATCATCATCATCTTCATCATCAGCAGAAGTGCATTTTAGTGAGAGATTTGGTCCAGCTTGGGCTTTCTAACCACCACCACCACCACCACTATCATCATCATCTTCATCTTCATCATCAGCAGAAGTGCATTTTAGTGAGAGATTTGGTCCAGCTTGGGCTTTCTAACCACCACCACCACCACCACTATCATCATCATCTTCATCTTCATCATCAGCAGAAGTGCATTTTAGTGAGAGATTTGGTCCAGCTTGGGCTTTCTAACCACCACCACCACCACTATCATCATCATCTTCATCATCAGCAGAAGTGCATTTTAGTGAGAGATTTGGTCCAGCTTGGGCTTTCTAACCACCACCACCACCACCACTATCATCATCATCTTCATCATCAGCAGAAGTGCATTTTAGCCAGAGATTTGGTCCAGCTTGGGCTTTCTAACCACCACCACCACCACTATCATCATCATCTTCATCTTCATCAGCAGAAGTGCATTTTAGTGAGAGATTTGGTCCAGCTTGGGCTTTCTAACCACCACCACCACCACCACTATCATCATCATCTTCATCATCATCATCAGCAGCAGCAGCAGAAGTGCATTTTAGCCAGAGATTTGGGCCAGCTTTGGCTTCCTAACCACCACCACCACTGTCATCATCATCATCATCATCATCATCATCTTCATCAGCAAAAGTACATTTTAGTGAGAGATTTGGTTCAGCTTGAGCTCTCTAACCACCACCACCACCATCATCATCATTATCACCTAATACTCCATGAGATGGTCAACAAAAGTACATTTTAGACAGAGCTTAGCGATATCATCATCATCTTCATCATCATCATCATCTTCTTTTCTGATGCTCCAGATCACAATCCTGTTCAACATTCATTAAATGCATTTTGGTCAGAGAACCCATGGTTTGACTTTTATCGCCATCACTGTCATCAGCGTCTCTGAAGCTCCATGGTGAGGTCAACACCTCAGAGGAGCTTAGCTTTGCTTTAGCCATTCTCCCAGTCATCGTCAGCATCGGCAACAACATCAACATCTTCTCTAACGCTCCATTAAAACAGTCCAGCCAGTGGAGCTCTGGTTTGGCTTGACCTTTCTGGTTAGCATCTGCTCGATTAGTCTACAGTGAGCACAGGTTCATTTTAGCCGGAAGAGCTTTGGTTTTGTTTATCTCAGCATATTAAGGAGCAACCACTGCAGACCCTTCTCATCCTGGTCATCACCTACTTTAGAGACCATCCTGTGGTAAACACTCACAGGCAATGAGTACCAAATCACTCAGAAACCTTCTGCTCGCCACTTACTGACCAGCCCTCCACAGGAATCTGCGTTTCATACTTAAAGCTGAAATACTGACTCATTCATGCGTTGTGCTGTCTTTGGTATTATAGGCTGTATAACGTAGCAGCGTCCATTAATTTCACCTTTAATTTTCACCTGTTTCCACCTGATCTGTCCTGCTGTGAATACTCTTCACTTTACATACTGGAGATGTAAATATTATACACTACCGTTAAAGTCTGGAATCAATGTTTTGAAGAATATAAACCCAATTTGGTTGCAGATAAATGTATGAAATGATTCGTGTACTTCACATGTTTAGCAGGAGCTACAACACTAATCAGTAATCAGTACGTTCTTAAAACGACCGTTCCTCAAGGGTTCTTTAGTAAAGACATTGGTTCTATATGGGCAAGGCGAGTTTATTTAAATAGCACCTTTCATACACTGCGGTCATTTAAACTGCTTTATCAACGAGAAAATACACAGACAATTCAAATTAAAAACAGACTTTAAATAGAACCATGAACACTCAAGGAACCATTTGCATGGTGAAATGGCTCTTCAGATTGGTGGAGAATGTGTTGTATATGGTTCTACATAGTACCAAAAAGGGTTCCGCTGTTATTATGATATCAAGCTTGTAACAACAGCAGAACACTTTTTGGTGCTACATAGAACCATTACAACACATTCTCCACCAATCTGAAGAGCCACTTCACCATGCAGAGAACCATTTACGCATACAGGTGGTTCCTTGAGTGTTCATGGTTCTAAACAGAACTATGGTCTTTACTAAAGAACCATTGAAGAGCTGTGTTTTTTAAGAGTGTAGAACACTAGGAAGCTGTGAATGTTTAATGTTAATGAACAGAGCTGTGAAAGACTCATGGCACAACATGGCTGAGAAAGCTGTAGAACAGCTTAAAGCTCTAATAATATTCATATTCAGAATTAACCATATTTCAAAAGTGGAGATCAAATCTCAAGACAGATCACAAAAATAATAATATAACTAGATTACAGTGCATAATTTGTCATTTTGTTCACAGAATTCTTGAAATACTGACTCAAACGTCCAAAAATGCCATTTGGTGAATAGTTTGTAACATTTAAATCCAAATTATTACGACATGTAAAACAGTAAAAATGGCAAATTACTCCAAACTTTTAAACACTACTGTAGAGTCACATGCAAAAGTTTGAACACCCTCTGGTCAAATTTCATGTTGTTGTTTCTGAGTGTAAATAAGTTAACGTCCTCTACAGACTTAAAAACTTACACATGGTATTTTCTGCAATTTTTACTGCACAATTTCTATTTATTTGTGATGTAAATTTTGCAGAGGACAAATTTAATATTTTAATTTCCCCCCAGTGTTAAATTCAGCTAATGAACAGTAACTGTGCATTAAATGTGCAGTAGTGTGTCTCTGTAGAGGGTGTATTCACATATTCACACTCAGAAAATCAACAAATACATGGAATTTGACCACAAACTGTTGTGCACAACTGCATGTGTAGTACAGCGTGGTGGCCTCCTGTACTAAACGGACCCCCGTGTGGACCCCTTACATCACTCACTCATGCACATTTACACCCAGGACTCACGGGTGGCTGGGGTAGCTTTAGCGGGCTGTTAGCCTACATTAGAGCACCGATCTGAGACGCAGCCGCCATCGGTTTTCGTGTTTGTTTGTCGCTGTTGGTTTTTCATGAAGGTAATTCCGTTTGAGGGGTGTTGATTTACAGTGTTCTGGTATTTATGATTCATATCTGATGTGTGTTCAGTTATTCAGTCTCCATCCACAGAATCACTACTTTCACCAAAGCAAACTCCTTGTGCAAATAAAGTCAGTCATTCTGATTCCGGCCATCATCACTAGTTCACCAATGCAAACAAAGCCCCAACCCCAACCCCAAAACAGCTCCTTTCTTTTTCTTTTTGGCTAGCGGTGGAGCTGCGCCTGCGCCGCGCTTCATCGCGCTCGTTCTCCTGCTTTTTCATCCCTCTGTATTTATTTATTTATTTATTTTATTTTATTTTATTTATTTTTTAGGCCCAGGTGCGGCGACGGGAGCGCGCGCGGCGTCTCCATGGCAACGCCGCCTTGATTAGCGGAGACGCCGCGGGGCCGCGAGGGGGCGCCGAGGAGCAGAAGAGCCCCCTCTGTTCCTCACAGCCGTATGAAAAACCCAACATCATCATCATCACCATCATCATCATCAGTGCTGTTATTGTTATCATTATAACAGAGGAATCGGCTCGCGGCTGTTAGGATCGTCAAAACGGAGCGTTTTTAATCCAGTGAGCGTCGCTGCTGTGGTCGGAGGGTGTCGCGCGTTAACGTGGGCGTGTGACTGCGGCGCCCGCACACCGCCGTATAGGCCTCGCGCGCACACGCACGCACGCACACACACACACGGAGACGGCGCTGTAAAATGGCACCGCGGCGCGAGCGTCTCTAACAGAACGACGATGGCAGATCAATGACACCGACACACAGAGAAATATCATGCCTGGTCTATCACAACACACGCATTAAAGCAGCGCGCGAGGTGTTTTCATTACCTCTTTATCGCTGACATCCGCGCGCTCGCCACGAAAACCCATCCTCATCCTCCTGCTGCTGCTGCGCGAGACCTCCGCTACAGCCACGCGACGACGGCACATCACACACACACACACACACACACACACACACACACACACACACAGACACACAGACACACGCGCGCGCGCGCACGTGCACACACAAACACACACTCACACACACCGAAGCGCGAGAGAGAAGCGAAGCGGATGCGGGTCCGTACCTTCCTCCGTTTTGTCTTCTCTTCTTCTCTCCCTCCTTTTATTCCTTTTTTCTCCTCCGTCGTCTGCTCCCTCTCTCCTCCGTCCGGCTCTCTGACTCAGTCTCTCTCTCTCTCTCGCTCTCGCTCTCTCGCTCTCTCTCTCTCGCCCGGGATGCGTGCGCGCGCGCGTCCGCGAGACCGGCGCACCGGGGAGGGAAGGAAGAGGGGAGGGGGGTAGCGCGCGCGCGTGTGTGTGTGTGTTGGGGGGTAAACGGTCAGAGTGTGAAGCGCCGGAGATTCAAACCGAGAAACAAACAACAAACAAACAAACAAAAGAAAACATCGTGGGAACGAAAAAGGAGAACAGAAGAGGCGCGCGGTGCTTTACATCGCTGGAGGCGCGCGCGCTCGGCGGAGAAAAAAAGGGGGGGAGCTTACGTAAAGTCCGTAGAGCGCGAGACAGAGTAGAGCAGGAGCACTGGAGCACCACACACACACACACACACACACACACACACGCACGCAACACCTGCTGCAGCTTTTTCCCTCACCGATCATCCGTCCGTCCATCCGTCCATCCGTCCTCTGATGGCGCTGCGCTCTGTGATCAGCAGCGCGGTCTGCTGTGTGGAGCAACGCTGAGTGTTTATAAGCAGAGCGAGTCAGGAGAACTCAGAGCGGTCCTGATGTACTGCAGTGGGTACTGAGGACGCGGTGTGGGCACTGATACCCGGTAAGACCCCAACACTAAATAATGACCGAACACAAGGGCTTGATAGAACCCTGACCCCAATGCTTAACGCAGCCCTGAGGGTTAACACTGAGCAATAATCACAACCTCAATATTTAATACTGAGCAATAATCACAACTCCTGTAGTTAACACTGAGCAATAACCACAACCCTAATATTTAACACTGAGCAATAATCACAACTCCTGTAGTTAATACTGAGTAATAATCACAACCCTAATATTTAACACTGAGCAATAACCACAACCCTAATATTTAATACTGAGCAATAATCACAACCCTAATAGTTAATACTGAGCAATAATCACAACCCTAATATTTAACACTGAGCAATAATCACAACCCTAATAGTTAATACTGAGCAATAATCACAACTCCTGTAGTTAATACTGAGTAATAATCACAACCCTAATAGTTAATACTGAGCAATAATCACAGCTCCTGTAGTTAATACTGAGTAATAATCACAAGCCTAATACCTAACACCGGGTTATAAACCCAACCCCAATATTTAATACTGGGTAATAAACACAACCGCGAAAGTTAATACTAGGTAATAAACCTAACCTCAATATTTAATACTAGGTAATAAACCCAACCTCAATATTTAATACTAGATAATAAACCCAACCTCAATATTTAATACTAGGTAATAAACCCAACCCCAATATTTAATACTGGGTAATAAACACAACCCCGATCGTTAATACTAGGTAATAAACCCAAACCCAATATTTAATACTAAGTAATAAACCCAAACCCTATATTTAATACTGAATAATAAAGCCAACCTCAATATTTAATACTAGGTAATAAACCCAAGCCCAATATTTAATACTGGGTAATAAACACAACTGTGATCGTTAATACTAGGTAATAAACCCAAACCCAATAGTTAATACTAGGTAATAAACCCAACCCCAATATTTAATACTGGGTAATAAACCCAACCTCAATAGTTAATACTAAGTAATAAACCCATCCCTAATATTTAATACTGGGTTATAAACCCACTCACAATATTTAATACTAGGTAATAAACACAAGCTAAATATTTAATACTGGGTAATAAACACAACCGCAATAGCTAATACTAGGTTATAAACCCACCCACAATATTTAATACTAGGTAATAAACCCAACGTCAATATTTGATACTGGGTAATAAACCCAACCTCAATAGTTAATACCAAGTAATAAACCCAACCTCAATATTTAATACTGGGTTATAAACACAACCTCAATATTTAATACTAGGTAATAAACCCAACCTCAATATTTAATACTAGGTAATGAAGCCAACCCCAATATTTAATACTGGGTAATAAACACAACCGCGATAGCTAATACTAGGTAATAAACCCACCCACAATATTTAATACTAGGTAATAAACCCAACCTCAATATTTAATACTAGGTTATAAACCCACCCACAATATTTAATACTGGGTAATAAACACAACCGCAATAGCTAATACTAGGTAATAAACCCACCCACAATATTTAATACTAGGTAATAAACCCAACCTCAATATTTAATACTAGGTAATAAACCCAACCCCAATATTTAATACTAGGTAATAAACCCAACCTCAATATTTAATACTAGGTAATAAACCCAACCCCAATATTTAATACTGGGTAATAAACACAACCGCGATAGTTAATACTAGGTAATAAACCCAAACCCAATATTTAATACTGGGTAATAAACCCAACCCCAATAGTTAATACTAGATAATAAACCCAACCCCAATATTTAATACTGAATAATATAGCCAACCTCAATATTTAATACTGGGTAATAAACCCAACCCCAATATTTAATACTGAGTAATAAACCCAACGTCAATATTTGATACTGGGTAATAAACCCAACCTCAATAGTTAATACCAAGTAATAAACCCAACCTCAATATTTAATACTGGGTTATAAACACAACCCCAATATTTAATACTAGGTAATAAACCCAACCTCAATATTTAATACTGGGTTATAAACCCAACCCCAATAGTTAATACCAAGTAATAAACCCAAACCCAATATTTAATACTGAGTAATAAACCCAACGGCAATATTTGATACTGGGTAATAAACCCAACCTCAATAGTTAATACCAAGTAATAAACCCAACCTCAATATTTAATACTGGGTTATAAACACAACCTCAATATTTAATACTAGGTAATAAACCCAACCTCAATATTTAATACTAGGTAATGAAGCCAACCCCAATATTTAATACTGGGTAATAAACACAACCGCGATAGCTAATACTAGGTAATAAACCCAAGCTAAATATTTAATACTAGGTAATAAACCCAACCTCAATATTTAATACTAGGTAATAAACACAACCTCAGTATTTAATACTGGGTAATAAACCCAACCCCAATATTTAATACTAGGTAATAAACCCAAACCCAATATTTAATACTGGGTTATAAACCCACCCACAATATTTAATACTAGGTAATAAACCCAACCCCAATATTTATACTGGGTTATAAACCCACCCACAATATTTAATACTAGGTAATAAATCCAACCTCAATATTTAATTCTAGATAATAAACCCAACCCCAATATTTAATACTGGGTAATAAACCCAAACCCAATATTTAATACTGAGTAATAAACCCAACCTCAATATTTGATACTGGGTTATAAACACAACCCCAATATTTAATACTAGGTAATAAACCCAACCTCAATATTTAATACTGGGTTATAAACACAACCTCAATATTTAATACTAGGTAATAAACCCAACCTCAATATTTAATACTAGGTAATGAAGCCAACCCCAATATTTAATACTGGGTAATAAACACAACCTCAATATTTAATACTAGGTAATAAACCCAACCCCAATATTTAATACTAGGTAATAAACCCAACCCCAATATTTAATACTGTGTAATAAACCCAACCCCAATATTTAATACTAGGTAATAAACACAACCTCAGTATTTAATACTGGGTAATAAACCCAACCCCAATATTTAATACTAGGTAATAAACCCAACCTCAATATTTAATACTAGGTAATAAACACAACCCCAATATTTAATACTAGGTAATAAACCCAACCTCAATATTTAATACTAGGTAATAAACACAACCTCAGTATTTAATACTGGGTAATAAACCCACCCACAATATTTAATACTAGGTAATAAACCCAACCCCAATATTTAATACTGGGTTATAAACCCACCCACAATATTTAATACTAGGTAATAAACCCAACCCCAATATTTATACTGGGTTATAAACCCACCCACAATATTTAATACTAGGTAATAAACCCAACCTCAATATTTAATTCTAGATAATAAACCCAACCCCAATATTTAATACTGTGTAATAAACCCAACCCCAATATTTAATTCTAGATAATAAACCCAACCCCAATATTTAATACTGGGTAATAAACCCAACCTCAATATTTAATTCTAGATAATAAACCCAACCCCAATATTTAATACTGTGTAACAAACCCAACCCCAATATTTAATACTGTGTAACAAACCCAACCCCAATATTTAATACTGTGTAATAAACCCAACCCCAATATTTAGTACTAGATAATAAACCCAACCCCAATATTTAGTACCAGATAATAAACCCAACCTCAATATTTAATACTGGGCAATAACCTCAGACCCCAGTGATTAATATTCAGGGACAAACTGAACACTAATGGCTAGTACTGGGAAATATACACAACCTCAGTGGTTAATATTCAAGGGTATACACAACAGCAATAAATTGAACAGTAAATTAAACTTCAGTGGTTAATTTTGGGTAACAACTCCAAACCCAGTTATTAATAATGCATTATAAACCTGACCCCAATAATTAAAATTGAGTAATAAACATAACCCCACTTGTTAATGTTACGTAATACCTCCAAAACCAATGGTTAATAATGGGTAATAAACACAACCACAATGGTTAATAATGGGTAATAAACACAACCACAATGGTTAAAAGTAGGTTATAATCGTAACCCCAATGATGAATATTGGGTAATAAACCCAATCCCAATAGTTAAAAATCAGTGATAAGCTCATAAACCCAACCCAATAGTTACTAAGGTAATATGAATACTGGATGACTACAACCCCATAGGTTAATATGGAGTAATAACCAAATTTCCATAGTTAATACTGGGTGATAGACTTAGCACCAGTAGTTAAGGCTAGGTCATAAACCCAACTCCAGTGGTTAATACTGGGTGGCAAATCCAGTCCTAATGGTTAAGGCTATACAATAAACACAACACCACTGATTAATAACGGGT